AGTAGTAATAAGTAATACACATTTTATTTAAAGAGTCTGAGTATGCATAAGAATAAAATAATTATCATTAATCTTAACACGTAGGATGATCACTTTTTAAAATGTTTCATTATATAGATATATAGACACGTGTGTGCGCATGTATGTTGGTGTTTTTATCTTTTATAAAATATGAGAGCACTTAGAAATGCCACAGTCTTTTCTTTTTTATTCTAAATTAAAATCCATCTATATGCTTAGAATGGAAATTTAAAGGCACTTTGCTTTATTGACCTAAATAGTTACCAAAAACAGGTAAATAACGCAGGGCACTTTAGGAGGCCACTCTGTTACAAGACTAAGACTATTTGCAGTTGAGGTAACAGATGACTGTTTTCTCTGCAAGCAATTTTTACTTTTTTGATCCTTTCTCTTCATTCATGCCTTTTAAATAAGTTACTTGGGTTAGAAGTATGTTACTCAAAAAAAAAAAAAAGGATAACACTGGGATCTTGTTTGAGTTGTGTTTTGTCTTGTTTTCTCTTACAGTAACGGTTGATAACAGTATTGGCCTGAAGAGAGGACAGGACCAAATAACTCATCAGAAACTGGCTTAAACCAGGAAGGAAAAAAAAAAAATTTCTCCCTCCCCTCTGTTGTCACTGCTGAGGGTTTAAATTATGAAATAATAAATCATCTCTACCTGAATCACCTGAATTACGTCTGGTGTTTTCCTTTACTCTTCATTTCCAACTCCCATCCTATCTACTCTAATTTGACTCCAGAAAAGTATCTGAATCAGGTCAGAGCAGCCAAAGACCCTCATCCCACAGAGCGGCAAGAGCCTGCCGGCTGAGCCCATGACCCCAGGAGGGAGAGTACCCTTTTCTACTACTGCTTTTTAGGTTGCCCTGATCCCCCTGCCCCTCAGTCTGACCTTCCTCCTCCCCTGCAGAGCTCCCTGACTTCAGCTAGCCTGCGACCTGTCCTAGTGGCACTTAGGAGTTGAATCCAGTCTTTCTCTTGTTCCTGCATCTCCACTTGAAAGCTCGATACCCACTTGACGGGTTCAGATTTCTGATTACCACGAGGAGCTTTACCACGAAGCCAAGGAACAAAAGCATCAGGGCAACTTACTTCCATAGGTTCTTTTCGGCCTCGGGGACCTAATTTTGTGTCATCCACAACAGATAATGCTGTGTCTTTTGAGAAATGGGGGTATGTTCCTGGGCTCTAGGAGAGCTGGAACAACTGAACTTCAGACACCAGGCGGCCACACAGCTGAACTGCTCACTATGGCTGGCCACGCCATGAAGTCAGACCCCTGCTCCCCAGCACAACAGCACTGGTTTTCTTCCTGTAGCTTGTGCCTGTGGCCATGTTAGTCTGGGTCCCATCAGGAAACAGGAATCACACAGTAATTTAAACAGGAAGTATAATAATAAGCGCCAGTGGAGAGTGATTATGAAGCTATAAAGAGAACTCTGCAGGTATCTGAGGGGTCTGAGGGAAAGTACCCGGGGAAGGACAAGACTGGAAGGGTGGCCACTCTCCAAGCCTGGGGTTCAGACCACATATATACAAGTGTGTATTTCACCTGTTTTGTTAATATCAGCTGAAAAGCTGTGGAGACTTGATGGAGAGGATATTTGCTGGAAGGTGCAAGCACCCAGGCATTTAATGAGGGAATTTTCTATGACAATAAAAGAAAAATAGTCATAGTTATAAACCAATCTTTTCAGTCTAGGAGGAGGCCAGACTGATTTCTAGACTTGAGTTTTGAGCAATTTTACATGGTGGAGTAAGGATGGAAGAGGAAATCTGATCAATTTCCTGGCTTGCAGTTTGAATGTCTTTCACGGTTGCTTTGGGTGTTTCGGTGAACTTTCCGAGTGGTTCACACAGCAACAGGCAACGGTTGCTCCTACGTGGTCCTTTGTGATTTCTGTGAACTTTGTATCAATTGTCCCATTTCAGGGCTTCAGGAAAAGGAAAAGTTCTCAGTGATCCCAAGTTGGCAGAGGTGATTCACCAGACAGTAATAACCTTAACCCTGCAACTTTGCTTCAAGCACCACAAGGAATAAAACTCTAACTGCACTTTATTAACCGATTATCTTCTTGCTCCTAATAGGAATGACTTAAAAGAAAATCCTATAGCGAATGCTGATTTAATTTGTTTTTACAGATGGTTCCTAGTTAAAGGAGGAACAGAGATGTTACCAAACTGGATATGCAATCAAGTCCATGGTGAACGTAATTGAAAGCTCTTGTTTACAGCAACAAAGTCATTACAACAAGCTGAATTAATTGCCTTAACCTGAGCGTGTCAAGTAGCTTAAGACCGGGTGCCAAATATTTTTACTGGCAGTTGCTGTGCTTTTGGAGTGGCACACCACTTTGGAATGTTGTGGAAACAATGAGGGGTTTTAACCCCTTCGGATAGCTCATAAAAATGGAAAACAGCGCTTCCTTCGGCAGCCCATATACCAAAACTGGAACGATACACAGAAGATTAGCATGGCCCCTGCACAAGGATGACACGCAAATTCGTGGAGCGTCCCATATTTAAAAAAATGGAAAACAGGTTGCAGAGTTATTAAAAGCTATATGACTATTAAAACTATCGGCGAGGATTAAAATACCAGTCATTCCAAATCTGACACCATGGAAGCTAAAGGAAGTCATCTTGGTGCTGCAGCCTCCACAGTGCCCACTGCTCTCCATTCACTCTGCTAACCCAGCCAAAAGACGTCCTCCTGCAGGCTCAAGAAACCATCACTGAAGGAGAGAAACAGATGGGGCAACAAAAGGGGGAAATTTTTGGCCCTGTCACAAAAGTAGGGTTTGGGCCTGATAAAAAAAAATCTGTAGTGCCTGTTGGTGCACAGTGGCTGTTACTCCAGCATATACATTCTTTAACTGGCCGGGCACCTGAGAAGACGGTTTTAGGGGGAAAATGATATTTCCCGCAACTTTCTCCCATGGTGGTTCATAAAATATATACTCTGTGGACTATATGCCCGAAATACAATCCTGGAAAACCACTTCATGGGTCATAAATTCACTTTTCCCTTCCTAAGGAACCCTTTGAAGTATGCTCGTTGGACTGTGTCCAAATGCCACCATCTCAAGGGTATAAACAGATCTTGGTAATGATCTGGATGTGGTCACGCTGGGTCGGAGCTTTTCCCTGCAGGAGAGCAAGGCCTTAACAGTAGGTCAATTGTTATTGGAAAGGATAGTTCCTGTTTGGGGAATTCCTTCTGAGTTACCTAGTGACCGAGGAGCTCATTTTACTGGAGAAGTAATTAAATCTATTTGTCACATTTGGCCGATGCATTTTCACTGCTCTTATCATCCCCAGTCTTTGGGTTTGGTGGAAAGAACCAATGGCAGTGTCAAAATACAACTGGCAAAACTTTCAGAAGCATTTGGTCTCTCATAGCCAAAAGTGTTTCCTCTAGGGCTTCTCAGCCTTAGGTTTACTCCTTTTGGTAAACATTGGCTGTCTCCTGAAATAATGACAGGGCCTAGCCTGTGTGACTAGATGAGGGAACGTATGAAGCAGTGTTACTCGGGGAGATCTATATTTGTCTGGATCTTACTAAGACACTTAAAGGAAATGAAAATTTGGCAGCTGATTCCTTTCACAGTGAGTTCCGGGGAGATGAAGACCTTAAGGATCATGGATTACAACCTGGAGATGTTGTTTATTGGAAAACACATCAAATAGAAGATTCTTGGCAGCCACATTGGAAAGGACCTTATCAGCTAATATTAACTAATCCATGTGCTGCCAAACTAAAAGGCACAGACTCAAGGATTCACATCTGTCACTTTAAAAAGAGCCCTCCATCTGCATGGACTTGACTCCTTGTTTCAGACTCCTGGCTTTGCCTGCCTAAGGCAAGCGTCACTTGAGTCAGAAGACTGAGTAAAGACCACTGTCCACAACGCTGGTGGGCATCCACTGCGCTGCGCTCCTGAACAGGACACAAAGACAGAGGAAGGGTGAATTTGCTCTATGCTTGAGTTAAGACTCTATTTTCTTCTGCTTTCTGACATCAGCACCCCTGGTTTTCAGACTGGGACTGTTTCTCTGACTAATACAGATTTGGAGATTTACAGGATGAGTTCTGGGATTCTTGAAACTGGCTTTGTAATCTGATAAAATTTAAAGATGCCATCGGCTATTTCCAGTAATAAAAAGAGCACTGATAGTCCATGGAATGAACAATTTACAGAGATATGCAACATACCTGCTTTGGATACTTCTAATCAACCACTTATAAGAAGAAAGGAGCCAAGTGACTCTGTATATGATACTTCTGAACATTTTTGGAAAACTAAGGAATATAACAACACTGACGTCCTCTAACGTCGCTGGACAACATGGTGAAAGACAAAGGTAAGCCCCGAGATCTGAATTTCCAGGTCAAGTGTTGCATAAATGACCCAAAGGCTTTTAGGCGTGCCCCAAACAAGGGACTGCTCTCTTACAGCCACAGGACTGAAATTGCTGAAAATTAAATGGAGAACCTCACTGTGTAATTGGCTGAGTTATAATGCAAGTTGACCTCCTGGCCTCACAGGGTGTCTACTGTCAAAGTGAGGGCATATATTGGGAAAGAATGGGACTCTGTTAGGATGGGGATGTGTGGGAAGACTGATGAAGCCAGAGACATCCTAGAGGATGTAGGGTGAGCCCCTACATCCCAGCGAGCCCTCTTGGTGGGAGAGGACCCCCAACCCTCATTGAAATTAGCCAACTGTTCATCATAAACTGGATATTTTCTGACCACGAAGCCATAAAATGAGACAGCACCGAAACATGCCATCATCAAACTGAAGTGGCAAATATGTGAGCAGGCCCAAGCTGGCCCTGGGGGAACAGGTAAGTTATAAGAAGAAGTGGCCTAAATGCGACACTGCCTTCTCTCTCTCAGCTTGCATTTCCGGCCTCATAAGGAATCCACTACAGTCAATGACAGAGGAAGAGAAGACTTGGGTGAGCTTACAGATGATTCATGTACAGTGTGCAGGCCCCACCTGACGGTGGAGAGCTGTATCCTACAGCCCTTCTCGTGGACATCCCTGCAGGACAGGGGTGAAAGGGAATCCTACTGAAAGGGCAGAGCTTCTGGCAGTGTACCTGGTTGTGCAAGTCGCTTGAAAGGAGAAATAACCAGACATGGGATTATATACCGATTCATGGGCTGTAGCCGGTGGTTTGGCTGGATGATCAAGGACTGGGAAGGAACATGAATGGAAAATTGATGATGAAGAAATTTGAGAAAGTAGTATGTGGTTAGACCTCTCTGAACGAGGTGAATTTGCTCTTGGCTTGAGCTGAGACATCCACCTTCTCCTACCCATGGACATCCATTAGTATTCCTAGTTCTCAGGTTTTGGGACTCAAGTAGGGACTTACACCATTGGGCCCCCCCATTTCTCAGGCCTTCAGATTCACACTGAATTACACTATCAGCACTTTGCTGGTTCTCCAGTTTGCAGATGGCAGAGACTTCTTGGCCTCCATAACCATGTGAGCCAATTCCT